TATCGTCATCAACCAGGTACGTATCCTCGATAACCACAGTCTTGATCCCCTTCCGAAGTGACGAAGAATCAGAACAGCCTCATCAATCTCGCAGCCCRCCACRTCATCAATCATATACAGGTGGCAGCGGCCACATCAGCAACGGCGCGTGGCAGCTGCCACGTCAGCATGCCCAGAAGACCATCGCCAGCCAGCACCTTGCCAGCCAGCAGCGCCTTGCCGTCCTCCTCTGTCAGCATATAGCCGGCGTCGCAATGTCGCAGCATAGCAACAGCGTCAAAGTCCACGCGTGAAGTCAGCATTCACGCAAGACTGAATGTTCTCCAGCCAGGAAGTCAACTCTTAAATAGCATGGATGCGGGGTCTGGACCCCGGGTGCTGAAGTACTGCACCGTCCAGATCTCGATGTGAAGGAGGGCCCAGATTGGCCAGAAACTGTATTCCTCCCGCCCTGAATGCTGTCTGGGTACCTACACACAACAAGTGAATGTATCCGACCATAGGCCTGGGCGCGGTACCTTTGACTCTACAGTTGACTTTGACTGTTGAATTTCCTTTGTGCTGCGTTTGGTCACACAGCCTCCTCGCCAGACTCGGGCTGGGCATGTCTCGGTCACATAGCCCAGCACAGACAACTGAGTCTGTGCTTTACCGGGGGCAACGTTCTGAGCCCCGGTCTGCTGCTGAACAGGGTTACTGCAGATCAGTCAATCAGGAGATCGATCGAACAATCGATCAATCAACCAGCAATCATCTGATTGACTGACTGATTGATTGATTGATTGATTGATTGATTGATTGATTAAGTTGATTGATTAGTTGGCAATTTCTTATTTAATCTTGGAAATTTCCCGGAATTAATTAGTTATTTATTTTTTTCCGAGAAATTATTTCTTTTTCCGAGAATTTTTTTCGAGAATTTTTTTTTTTTTTTTTCGAAATTATTTTTTCCGAGAAAATTGTTTTCCAAGAATTTTTTTTCGTTCTGAGAATTCTTTTTCCGAGAATTTTTTTTTACCTTGTTTAATTGTTAAATGTCTGCATTTTGACAATTTCGTGATTCTTCCGAAACTGTCCCTCAACACTTTCACTGCGTAGGTCTGCAAATTCCGTTCTTTCTTTAAAAAAAAAAAAAAAAAAACGGCATTTTTTTTCCTTTTTGCAACCTACTCCTACTCTGAGTTTGTAAAGATTCTTCTTTTCTGATTCTCTGCAGTCCGAGCACCGAAGGTTCACATTTGCTTTCTGCATCACCTTCGGTACTCAGTGGGATTGGACAGTCTTTTCTTTTCGAATTTACAATTTATTTTTTTAATTTTTTTTTTAATTTTTTTTTTTTGATTAGGAAACTGTTCAATTTGGGATCTGTCCGATCCTTCCCACTTGTCTGCTGCCTACCTGTTCCTCCCCCTCCAGTCCGGGTACTGGGCCAGTCCATCTGATTGGCCCACGGGTGACTCTTCAGACTTCAGGCACGGCAGTGCATGCCACTCACTCGATCACAGACCAAGGCCATGGACCGGAAGGCAGGAGAATCCCTCCAGGCCTATGAGGAACGCCTGGCTGCATTCATCCAGGAGGCCAACGATAGGGCCGCCGCCGCGGCCAAGGAACGTAATCGGATTGAGCATGAAGAGGAGGCCAAGCGACAGAAGGAGGAACAGGACCGACTTCGTCAAGAGAAGGCAGACCTGCAGGCGGCAGCTGAACACCGGTCACGCCAGCGGGAACGGCTGTTCACGCGGGAGACCGTGATCAGCGATGAGACCGCACATTGGGTGGAAATGGCATCTGCAGACGGGGCCCCGGAGACTGACAAAGGGCTGTCAGCCGTTGCGCAGATCTCCCACGACCTCGTGCCACGACCTCGTGGCCACCTGCGCTCTGCAGCAGGAGGAAATCCTTCACCTGCAGCAGACAGTGGACCAGATGCTTACACGGCCGCAGGCGTTGGAGAAACAGCGAGCTGCAGTAGCAGGCGCAGGGCCTTCCAACCTTGCCACCCGCGTTCAAGTTTTGGAGGATGACGTCAGCAACATTAAGCGTGTGCATCAGGACTTCCGGACGTCGCAGCAAGCAACGAACTTGCAGTTGGAGACGCAGGTCCAGGCTGCTGCCACCGTGACGCCCGCGGCCGCATCCTCCCGGCGCCCACCCAAACTGGATGACATTCCAGTTTTCTGCGATCAGTCCAAGACGGAACTGATCCCGTGGTGGCGCCAGTTTACTCTCAGGCTCGACATGCACCATGTCCCGAACAACGATCGACATCCGTGCTTGTACCACCGATCTGGTGGTGCATGTCAAGCATGGCTGGACAACATATTGACCAGCCGGCGTAGCAGTGTCGGAACTGCACACCAAGCTCACTTGGCAGGAGTTGACTGACGCCTGGCACAAGCGATTCCAAGTGGAGCCGCCCGACCTGCAAGCGATGGAGAAGCTCAACAAGCTCCATCAGAACACGCTGCTCAGTCAGGACTGGATTACCGAGTTCCAAAGACTCGCCTCCACACCTGACCTGCCGCTCGCATTCCGCGGCGTCAAGCACTTGTTTATCATGCGCTCGTGTCCAGCCCTGCAAAACGCGCTGACGCAGATTGCAGAGACACTCGACACATCTGACAAGCTTTTCAGCACAGCGTCACGGATCATTCTCACGAATGTAGAAGCCCGCAACGCCGGTCGATCTTCCGTGACGACGAGCAGCACCCAGCCCAAGCCAAAGGTGGCTTGCATTGCGGCGACTTCGCCGACTTCTTATGTCGAGGCTGCAACACCAAACGAGGGTGAAGTGTTGGCAGCTGCCCGGGATGGTGGCCGGCCACGCAACAATCACGGTCGCGACAAGACGAAGACTCAGTCCACCTCTACACCGGGCACCGGATCAGCAGCCGACGAACCTTGGACGCAATACAGACTCTCGGCGAATTGCTATCGCACGAGACTCAAGTACCGTTATTGCCTTTGGTGCAACAACACCATCCACGATGCTGCACATTGCCCCACCAAGGGGAAACCCCGTTCGGGAAAGTAGGCGCTGCCGAGGGTGACTCGACACCTCCCTCGACGCCATCGGAAGCGGTTGTGCGCACGACCGCCCTTTCTTCCGAGGCATATGCGGATGTCGGGAGTCTTCCACTTTCGTTTGAAGACTTCGCTGCCCGGCTCGTTCCTTCACTAGATGCTTCTCAAGGACAAGATACATGTGCGACTTTCTCACCGTCCGAAGGTTCTTCCGCCACTTCGTCTTCATCAGGGGATTCGGCAAGCGTGCTCAACGAGGTCTTGGACCCGCTCACGCCCGAGGATTTCGCTTGGGTTCCTCTCCCTACGACGGGCAACCTTCCGGGGCCGCAAAGCGCAGCACTATGCGCCCTCTTACACGAGTATCTTTCCTTCCATGCACCACCAACTTCGCCGACGGTAGACGAAGTCGCGGTGGGGGACATGCTTGGCTATGTTGCCAAGGTGGCCCGCGAATCTGTCTCGCAACGGTGCGAAGAAAACAACGCACCATTGCTCTACGTTCGCATTCAGATTGGGCAAGCGGCCTGCAACACTTTGCTAGATTGCGGCGCAACTCGCAACTTCATCAGCCAGTCCTTCATGACTCGGGCTGGCCTTGGCGCACAAGTACGGAGGAAGTCACATCCCACGACAGTCGCTCTTGCCGACGGTAAGACGAAACAGCTCTTAGACCGTTACATCTCGGTTGTCCCGGTGTACTTTGCACCGCACGCATGTGAACCCGTCACTTTGGACGTGTTGGACACTGACTTCGATGTCATTTTGGGGATGCCTTGGCTTTCTAGCGCGGACCACACGGTCAATTTCCATCGACGCACGCTCACGATTCGTGATGCGACTGGCGCCGAGGTCCCGTGTACTATTCCTCCTCCTCGCTCTTCCATTCGGTGCCAAGTCATGAGTGCGAAATCTTTTCGAGACACATGTCGTTCCGAACATGTCGAAGAGATTGGCATCGCTTTTCTTCGAACCGTCCCGACGACCGACTCATCGTCCACGGATTCGTCTTTCGACCCCCGTGTGCCCCGGTTGTTAGACGAGTTCTCGGATGTTTTTGAGACACCCTCCGGTATAGTGCCGGACCGGCCGATCTCTCACGAGATCATACTCGAGGCCGGCGCCGTGCCACCGAAGGGATGCATTTATCGCATGTCCGAGGAGGAGCTCACGGTTCTTCGTGCGCAACTGGACGATCTACTTGACAAGGGTTGGATTCGCCCTAGCAACTCACCTTACGGTGCGCCCGTTCTCTTCGTTCAGAAGAAGAACAAGGACCTTCGACTTTGCATTGACTACCGACGCCTCAACGCGCAAACCATCAAGAACGCGGGGCCTCTACCTCACATTGATGATTTGCTTGAACGGTTGGGCCTCAAGTACTTTTCGAAGTTGGACCTCAAGTCGGGCTACCATCAGATTTCCATCCGCCCGCAAGATCGGTACAAAACCGGGTTTAAGACACGACATGGGCATTTTGAGTGGGTAGTTATGCCTTTTGGCCTCACCAATGCCCCGGCCACCTTTCAGGCGGCCATGACCACCGAGTTTCGCGCTATGTTGGACCGATTTGTCTTGGTCTACTTAGACGGCATCCTCGTCTATAGCCGAACTCTAGAGGAGCATCTCGAGCACCTTCGCCGTGTTCTAGAGACTCTTCGGTCAGCCCGGTACAAAGCTAACCGCGACAAATGCGAGTTTGTCCGGCAAGAGCTTGAATACTTGGGTCATTTTGTCTCTCCGGAAGGCATTCGTCCGTTGGCGGACAAGATTCAAGCCATCCAGGAGTGGCCCGAGCCGAAGAATGTGACGGACGTCCGATCCTTCCTCGGCTTGGCCGGTTATTATCAACGCTTCATCAAGGGTTACTCGAAGATCGCGGCCAACCTAAGCAAGTTACAAAGCGAGGAGCGGCCTTTTGACTTCGACGACGATGCACGCCATTCTTTTGAAACACTCAAAGCGGCACTCTTATCCGCCGAGGTGTTACATATTTAAGACCCGCTTCTAGCTACGCGCGTCACTACCGATGCGTCAGGCTATGGTATTGGGGCTGTCCTTGAGCAGCACGATGGCACGGACTGGCATCCGGTCGAGTACTTTAGCAAGAAAGTGCCTCCCGCACATTCGATCGACGATGCACAGAAGAAGGAGCTTCTTGCCTTCGTCCACGCCCTCAAGCGTTGGCGACATTTCCTCCTTGGTCGGAAAGCATTCCGATGGGTAACGGATAACAATCCAATCCGTTGGTATTCTACAAGTCGCAAGGCACGATTAACAGTACCATTGCCCGTTGGATGGCTTTCATCGACCAGTTTGACTTTTTCCCCGATCACATTCCCGGGAAGTCAAACCATTTTGCGAACGCCCTCTCACGGCGACCGGATCTTTGCACCGCAGTCTACTCTACCTTCGAGATCGACGACGACTTGCGTGAGAGCTTCATCCGCGGCTATCAAGCCGACCCCCACTTTCGCGACAAGTACGCGAATTGCTCCTCTCCGAATCCGGTGCCTTCGCATTATCGGATCCAAAAGGGCTACTTGCTTGTCCATTCACGTGGTAAGGATCTTTTTTGTGTGCCGAGTGATTAACACTTGCGCACACGGCTTCTTGGCGAGTTTCGCGATGCGCCTGCCTCCGGACATTTTGGTGTCAACCGTACACTTGGCCGACTTCGCCAGCGGTTCTATTGGCCTGACCTTCTCAAGGACGCCACCCGCTATTGTGAGTCGTGCGAAGTCTGTCGGCGTTGCAAGTCACGCTGTCGGGGCAAATACCCTAAAGGTATTTACCAGGGTTTTTCAACGTCGGACGTCGTCCGACTTTTGTGTTGAATTGAAGGACTTGATGAGACGACGTTTGCCAAAAGTTTATTCAGACCTGACCTATGACTGACAAACTAAAAGTTTTTGAACGTTAGTCCAAATGCGTGTGGCGTCCTGGAGTAATGAATGTGTATGGTAATGCTTCATTTGTCGCATGCTGCAGGGACGCGCGCAGAGGAGAACGTTAAAATTAAACCTAACCTGCCTATAATAGCCGCGCAATTCAGGGCTTAAGGAGGTTAAAAGGAGGGGTGCGTCGGGTATAGTTGCGCGGTATACCAACGATGTAAGGCCTGTCGGCAAGGCCTGTAGGGCCACAAGCAGGCGGGCAGGGCCTGCAGGGCCGTAGGCCAGCACAGCTTGCGAGGCCATACGTGGGCGGAGCCTTCAAAGCCCCGCCATGGGGGGATAGTGGTTGGGCCAGCTCTTCTAGAAGAGCAGCTCCTACCATTATCGTGATAGGAGCTAGCCCAGTAGGTTATAGCAGCTGACTCATACCCAGCAAGTACTTGGATCGAGCCAACATACCGCGCCCCCGGGCTAGCTCCTTTTGGAGCAGGTTGTCCGTGATGCTACCGGCGCGCTAGATCTGGCCGTCTATCTGGAGGATCGTGCGCTCCAGATCGACCGTACCGAAAATTCCATGGCCCCTACGCAAGGATGACATGCATAGATCGAGAAAGTCTGTTTTTTTTTTTTTTTTTTTTTTTTTGGAAAAAAAAGAGGGAAAAAAAAAGGGAAGGGAGAAAAACTTACCTGCCCGCATCTGGGCGCATAAGCACCCAGATACGGGCTCTGCTGAGATCACTGTACCACGAGGTAAGTCGTGCCCTCCCCCTCTTTTTGTTTTTTTATTTTTTGTTTTTTGATTTGTGTGTCTTGCCACTTGGGCGATAGGACACGACGTGAAGTGACCGTTGGCCAGGCCAACGGAATAAAAGAAAAGAAAAGAAAAAAAAAACTAAGACTAAAGTGAAGCGCCATATGGCGCAATGTGAAGTGTCTGGGGCACTTTAGTCCCCAGTGGTCGTGACAAGCGCCCGTTTTACGGGCTGCCGTTTTCCCTTTCTTTTATTTTGTTCTTTTTCTTTTTTATCTTTTCTTTTGATTTGCTTTAGATTTTTGTTAGATTTTATAGTTTTCTTCTTTTTTTTATTAGTAAGAATTAACAAGTGCCCGTTCGTTTTGACGAACGGGCTGCTTCTCCTTTTGACAGGAGGAGCAAAATCGAATGGATATGCCGCGGAAGCGCGGCTATGTTCGACTATGGGTTAGGGGCCTGGTGCTTGAAGTGACGAGCTCTCACTTGAGAAAACATGACCGTGCCAGACTGTTTCGTCGAACTTCCACCGACTCATCAAGAGGCTGAGCCTCGACAGTCCATCCACGGATGGACAAAGTCGGATGAACCTACCGCCCGAGGCGGCTCCGTTCAAGAGAGAGAGAGAGAGAGGAAGGGGAGGGGAGCGACTTACCTGGCGGCTGTTGCGACGTGACTACGGCCCAGGTACGTCTTCTTCTTTCCTTTCTTCTTTTTCTTGTTTTGTTTTGTTTTGTTTTTGATAATTTTTTTAAAGTTTCCTGAGTGTCGTGGGGGCGCCCATCCGAGTTCGGGAAAAGGCCTCAACACT